GACGTTATCATACCCAGAACTTAGTCTAAACTAATCAGTCGTAGATACTCTACCCGTTTAGTACTTACTTACCCAGTCCCACCATCAATCATGTCTAGGGCAGCATACGTCATTTTAACGAATGTATATGTTTCTGGGAGCCAAACAAAAGCTGCTGATTCGCAATCATTATACTGCATCCGTTTAGTACTTACTTACCCAGTCCCACCTTCAATCATGTCTAGGGCAGCATACGTCATTTTAACGAATGTATATGTTTCTGGGAGCCAAACAAAAGCTGCTGATTCGCAATCATTGTACTGCAAGTAAGGCACATAGACTTCCAATCTGTTTTATTAGGCTTAACTTATAAACTAGATCTGCTTAATGAAGACTGAGCTTGGTGACCTTTGCCAATGGTATCTTATCTTTAATGGGAGTAGGTTGTGAAGTCAATACAACAGCTTGCTAAAGTTCTTCCTACAGTTAACAACTCGTGTGTTAAGCATAAATTTAAAAGTAACCTGGACAGTTATATAATCGTTTAAGGTTAATTCCTATTTCTTAGTTAGAAGGTAAATAGAAATAGAAAAAGTTATAGTACAGAGACTTTCCTATGTTAACCCTCTCTCATTCTCATTCGGGAATACCTCTTTTTAACCATAACAGTATACGTAAGCGCTTACGTCAGCAATGTAAATCACCACAAGTGTTTACTGCTACTTTAGGAATAACTATAGGAAAAGTTAGTTTCTCCCAACTTTGATTTGAAATATCTTGAATATTTTAACTAGAATTTTTCTTTGTGGTTAAATTCCTTATGACAAAAAGATAAAGAAAATAAAGTTGGTTGGATGAAATATCTACTCACTAGAATTAATGTAAATCTAAATAGTTTACAGAACGTATCATTATTTTTTAAAAGGTGATAAACCTATAAATTGAAATTTTAAGAATTAAAAGACATAAAAATTTAATTATTAAGTACGGTAGTACTTAATAGTAGGGATTGACAAGGTTTCCAAATAAAACCGACCATTCAAAGTATTGGTTACGATATATTATGCGCATATATACTAATAACGCGCTAGAAAGGTCTTTAACATTTCCGGTATAATAATTCAAAAATTTCTAAAACAGCAACTTTTTCATCTACTACCTACCTAGCTATCTGATCACGTCAGGAGGCTAGCCCAAGACGGCTTGGACTATCACTACAAGATTTCTCTGGCTTACTTGACTGGTCTGTGGGTATCTGCTTTTCATATTCCGATAAATATATACAGATTTTTTTGTAAATGGTAGGTATATCATGCACGTACTTAAATATCTTTTCAAACCAACAGATGGCGCTACATATCGATGGATAGACACGTGATAGTTTCTAAAGGTAAAGTATATACTTTATACAAGTGTAACATAAAAGTAAACAAACAAGAGTATTAAAAAACTATGAATTTTAAAATGAAGTAGGGATCCCGCTGCAAAAAAAGTAATGAAACAAGAATTAGAACCACAATCACAAGTTTATAAAATTTAATCCCTGCTTTGGCAGCTTTATTCACTTATCTGTAGGCCAAAGTAAGGATTAAATTTTATAAAATTGTGATTGTGGTTTTAATTATTGTAACAGTTATAGCTATCCGAGATATGGCTGTACTGAAAATTTATAGATGTTATGTTCATTTCATGGGCATATTAAAACTGAACAAATAAATAAGAAAAAAAAATAAAATTGTAATGGAAGTAGAGATCGTTGGTTATTCATAGAATTACTATAAGAAGTATCCAAAACAAAATAAATGCTGCAATATAAAGTACATAACCAAGTAAAGTGATACTGAAGCAGTCTAAATTTGCCAACCAAAGCAGGGATTGAAAATCGTTTCAAAATCTATCCAACTTGTATCACTTTACTTGTTTGTGTACATTTTATTGCAGCATTTATTTTGTTTTTGATACTTCTTATAGCAATTCTACGAATAATCAACGATTTCTACTTTCTGTTAAAATATGAATATTTTTTTTCCTATTTGTACCTAATAGCAGAGCTTATATTTAAATTATTCATTGATTATTAAAATTACAACCTCAATATTCTTGTAAGATATCCAGTATGGTAGATAACAGACAGAAAGATAATTTACCCTTTCTATAGAAGAACTAATTGCTTAGTTAATACGTGTCAAGATCTATTTAGGTATCTAACATATAGTTAATACGTGTAAAGATCTATTTAGGTATCTAACGTACAGTTAATACATGTCAAGATCTATTTAAGTATCTAACGTATAGTTTGTCAATCTCAAGCCACATTATAAATAATTTTCGCTGCTATACAGTCTTCTCGATTTTATTTCCCTATTTTTTGTTTGTTAAGAACAAAGCTACACAATGAATTATCTATTGCCACCACAGATATCAAAACCCGGTTTTTTAGTGTTTTAAGCTTTCAGACTTACCGCTGTGTCACTAGAGGCTTTTCTGTGTGTCTGTTGTGTGTTGACAAAAATGGATTAAAAATGAATGTTAGTAATAATATTTTTATTATTTGGCGGTCTTTTCAAGTTATTCTAACCTCTTTCTTTTGTTGGTTTGTTTTAATGCAAAGCTGCAAAACAGATTACCGGAGCTGTGTCCACCACAGCTCTCGAACCTCGAACTTCGGTGTTATAAGACTTCAAGGTTACAGCTGAGCCACCAAAAGCACCTCTTTCATTACGGTGACAATTGACAGTACAATGAAGTTCTATAATATACGCACACATATACACAAGTACCCTCACAAACACACACACGCGTACACAAGCACCCTCTCTCTCTCACACACACACATATATATATATATATACATATACATACATATATGTAAATTTCTTATTTTCTAATTATTTTCGGGTTGAAATAAGTCCTGGTGGGTTCACGTTTTATCTATTTATCCTGTCTAGAGAAAAAGTGTCATACACCAAAGAAATAATCGTATCTCTTCAGGTGCTTTCGTCTCTTGCTCGTTATGCCATTACTCATGCTACTGCTGGGTTGGCTGTTATTTTTGGTATTGCTATTGTTGTTATTTAAAGGTATTTCCTGTAGTTGGAACCGAAGTGTTACGCGAATCCTCGGAAACGTGTACATAAGACAGTCCTGTAAACAACAAAAAAGAAATGTTGACAACTGTCCTATCTCAGTGCCATCTACTGCTCCTTTCTGTTTTTAAAGTGCTCACATGTCGATAGAGGGCCTATTTATAGTGCTTTGTCACGTTATATATCACGTTTGATATATTCAAGTTTTGCATTTCTGGCATAATAGTAGTCAACACTTGGATTAATTTACGAAAACACGATGTTAGTTTTCTGAAGGCTTCTACAGACAGATTTATGCAAGAACATTTCTAAAGTATATATTAATGTAGTATAAACCCTATGATAAATCATCCTTCTGTATCAGGTTTCAAGAAATCTGGTGGTGGCGTGGTCTGAAAGAATGTGAATATGCGTGGGAGGTATTGACCCGAGAGTGTGTGTGGTTAGAACTAATATATTTGAATGTATGTCCTGTCAAGATGTACATAGTTGGTTTCGGTGCCAACAGAACAACAGATTTATTATATCCGCGATAGAAATGTTATCTAACACATGCACCTTATAGAATACTTTGGATAACCACACAATGCACCTTGTATTATATGTAGTTGTCTCTAAGATGTATTTTGGATTAGTATTTATTTAATATAAATATTTTATTTTGTAAATTGTGTGCCTGGTATAAATTCAGCGCTCGATCCCAATTGTGCCCAGAAAACACACCAATCAAATACGTACTTCGTAAAGTGTAAAATGTGTAAATATACAGTACTTTCACTGTTACTTGATAATTGTCACGTAAAACAGTTATGTTTAGATGTATTTCATAAAACACTATTTGGTTTTTACACCAGCTCCTTAACCCTAGGTCTATGAGGACCCCATACCTTCTTTAAATACATTTTTCTTAAACTATTCATAATCCTCCCAATGGCTCAGCGGTAAGTCTGAAGACTCATAACGCTAAAGACAGGGATACCACAGCACATACAAGTTCACCATGTAGCTTTGCTCTTAACGACAAATAAATCGACAGAAAGTATTTATATATTAAATTGCATGTGGGTTCATAATATTATTGGTTACAGAGTCCCCAATAACACATGAACGATAAGAAAAACTAAAGGAAAATACCCTCACCATTGCATTTAATTCTACTAATTAGTGGTGGGATTTTCCTATGTACTTTATATAGAAAATTCATGAATTTCGGTCAGTTCTTTAAAATGAGTAACACAACAGGCAAAATTTAAAACTACCCAATAGAATGGACCTCACCGGTAACGAACGGTATAAAAACCGGTCGATAATTTCAAGATCAATCTGTTTACACAATTTCAGACACTTCAACATTTTAAATTTATACTGAAGACTACTGTACTGAATACATCTTGCTTTAATTATGTTTCATGTCTGACTCAGATACTAGTCACAACTAATTAGACTTCATACATCTGGGGTTCTTAACATTTACAATTAGAAAACGTTTTTCTGTACTAATATTACAGCTACATTTCGTTTTCTGATTGAATATTGGATTGATTCATTACATAACAATATTATTATAACTTGTTAATTTAAAAGGGGGAATAGGGATCGTAAAAGAGAAATACAGAAACGAGATGACTAGCTTAAAGTGAAAATGCAGTCGCAATAAATTAAACAAACAAGCTTAGGGTTTGAGACACAAGATAAATAAAAAATTGGGAATTTAAGAACCTGCAAATATGGATAGTAAAGAGGATAAGCATACAAGGCTGCAGATACTGTAGACATTACTTACTCAAGCTAAAAATCCCTATTTGTACTTTACCAAATGTAATTCTAGCTAACAGCATGGAGTCAAAATAGAAATTTGTAGCTGTTACTCTTCCTCCTCTCCACTGGCCATAGTAAAGCCTGTCACGGTTTTGGTGCAGCTCGCCAGATTTCCTTTTTGAGTGATATTCTACAAGGTCAAAAACGTGTTAATCAACAATTATGAGTTGATTATGTTAATATACCTCCCTCTCTCCATTTTTGATGGAGTTTGGGTCGTGACACTTCTACGACCCTCTTCCACTGTGATGACCTTAAACTCTGGTGGTCTTTCGCTGCTGCATACTTTATTTGAAATTAATTATTTTCTAAATGCAATCTATAACTACAAAAGTTCTGCTTCAATTTCGTCAAGAGTCGCCATTTCCTGCTTGCACGATTTTTGTCAATCCTTATAATCAGCTTCAACAATGGCTACTCTATCTGCAGTATCTATACAATTCGCAATCAGTCAGTGTGGGCTAAAATTCGACACTTATGATCGGCAATCACAATGATTGCCGATCCGATGCTCGAAACTGAGCTTAATACTATCTTTTAAACTACGACTGAAAGATATCCGTTGTGGTCGACTAGCTGATACGGTTCATAATGATTTACTGTATCTATTGACTATTTCATTGCATTAGTTCGAGATGCAAATCTTTAAGCTGTAGCTAGAGATTGTCATGGAGATTTATTTGAGAATATAGTGAGTATTTATAGTTTCTCTGTAACTAAATTATCCATATATTATGCATAGCAATGGGAATACATATGCCTAGACTAAGACACAACCCTCACTAAGCGCGTATAAAATTTTATCAGTAGAAAAGCAGCCTTCTTCAAATAAAACATATACATCTGAAACATCGCTTTAAATAAAACTTCGTATCTTTTGAATTAATTATTCTATGAATATGTGTAATAAAACTTAATATCATTTGAATTGATTTTTTTACTCCTTCACTTCACATATAATATAGGGATTGGCTCCTTAAAGACACCGATTATATAGTGCAAAAAGCATTGAGTATCTACATGTTACAGTAATCTAATGTTAATCTATTATTGGCTGATAATTCCTGTTTCACCCAGCACTTAAGCTTCTTAAAGGAACACCAGATGTTTGTTAGAAAACTAGCTTCAAGGGGTTATGATACCATCATTCACGCTAGAATTATGATGTTTTAGCTTATGAAAAATATAGAAATAACTTTAAAAGTACCCTACGCAATGCGCAATGATCCATTTAGTAATGTTGTCCAGGTTTTGCTGTAGGCTTGCGGAACAACAACAATAATAATAATGAAACAAATGTGCGATCCCTATTATGATATTTCAAACCGTTTTTGTGGAATATATATTTGCATAAATATATATTTTTTCCCATATCGGTCCAATTTACAACAATACATGGTAACTCCTATTGGTTAAATAATTTTCTCTTAATGCTAGCAATGAAGGGGA